GGGAGCAGTACATGTCATATACCATCTGAGGGTCCTGAATGGGCAAAGGAGGAAGCCAGAAGTGGAATGATCCTAATGGTGGGATATGGAGGGAAGGGAAATGGGAATGAAAGTAGAATGACTCTCCAGAGCAGCTGAAGTTTTGTGACAATTTGGAAAAAAGACAACATAGGAATTATGAAGCAAAACACGGTGAACATTGATCGCAAACACATTGGAATGACGGTGATCACACGCTAAAAACAAGAGTAACAGGGATTTAAATGAAAGGTGATAAAACAAACATGATGACAAAGGTTCAAACAGAGGCGATTGAAAAGCAAAAAGGACAACATTAAGATTCCAATTGGGGAGAGAAGCAGGGTGAGGAGGATGAGCAATGGAGAATGAACGAAATAACATAAGATTGTACATGAGAGTGGAACACAGAACCAAAGGATGATAACCCTGGCATATGAACCAACAGCAGTATGTATACCATGAATGCTGATAAACTGCCAAAGAATAGGGACAAACTGGACGATAAATCAAGGAAGCAACACACCTATAAAGTCCTGACCATCTGGAAGGGACCAGACAAAAGCCACACGAGTGGAGTGCAGGTATGGATGGATTATGCATGCTGGACTGAGGCTGACGAAGGCATTTGGGAGACAAAGACAGAGGCAGGGGAGGTGACACCAAAAGTTGTCACAGAAGTGGACAGCACATGTGGGCTAGCCAATACGGTGCCACAAGCAGAACTCGACATGGAGTGGTCTGAACTATTCATAGGACACAAGGAAGAAGACAAATAGGAGGATATGCATAGAGGTAACAACCTGTCCAATCCTGACTGAGAGTATTCACTGCTTCCATCTGCAGATGAGTAGCAAAAGACCAAAAATGGGGAAGTTGTGTGTATTAAGATGAGATGCAAAAAACGTCCAAATCAGGGACAACCCAATGAACAAATAACTCCCAAAAAAGGAGAGAATCCAAACACCACTCTGTCGGATACTCCTCTTGTTGTGGCGAATGTTGCATGAAATTAAACAATTCTTTATGGATCATAGCCATCATATCATCAGCCGATAACTGTGGTTTTAATATATTTTTATTCATAGTGGCTTTATTTAACTTATCTTTTGTATTATTGTGTATTGTAGTGGATTTTCTTGTAAGAGTATTACTAAATGTTTATTATTTGTGTGAAGCTTGTATTTTGTCTCATTCCTTTTGCAATCTGATAACTCCAACTTGAAGGGAA